GTCCACAACAGAGCCCAAAATTTACGTTGCCCCATGAGACATTTCTTCAGTGGGATTTCACCCCCCCCACCCCCACCCCATTTTACAACCTCTCTTGCCCCCTTTGTTAAGCGAATCATTTCCATTCTTAAGCGAGTCACGTGGTTGTTAAATAAATCTGGCTTCCTTGCCCAAAGATCGAAAAAAGGGGGATCACGGAGACCGTCATAAATATAAACCATTTGCCCAGCCTCCAAATTTTGATCACCGCACTGAAAAAAAAGGGGGACTTAGCATCATTTCTCACACTTACGACCGTTTTGGCATCTCCTTGGTCACGTGATCAAAATCCAGGCACTTGCTGACGGACTCGTATTGCATTATAGATATATACTAGCTTGATACCCATGTGCTTCACTAGGCAACTGTGGTCGGCCTTAGTTTTTGGGGGAGGAAAATAAGGGAGGGGAGGAAATCCTGCCTCAGCCTACCAGCACCCATCGGTATTCATCTGACTAGCATCCTGTCAGTGTGAGAGAGTTGAGGGCTGTTTGGAAACTGAAGCAGTATATTTGTTGTGTGAACAAGAAGGAGACAGCAAGGAGCCTGGGCGTGGCTTAGCTCAACTGTTCTGTACTAAAGCTGCTTGCTGCTCTGAAAGTGAAAGTGAAACTCCTCTCCTCTGCTTGCGTTTTGCATTTGGAAGAGTTTTTTTTTTCAGGTGGGAAGGCGGAGTAGAACTCCTTAGCATCAGAGCATTGTTAATAATAATAATAGTATAGGAAATGCTCTAAATGCTCTGATGGTCATTTGGAAAAATCCTTTCTTAGTGAGCACCTAAAAACCAAGGGGAGTCAACGTGCCAAATTTCAAGTTTGTAGGCTTTTCGGTTCTGGAGATTTTGTGATGATGCGTGAGGGGCCTTTCACTTTGATATACAGAGATTTTCTATTCTATTCTATTCTATTCTATTCTATTCTATTCTATTCTATTCTATTCTATTCTATTCTATTCTATAATATACTAGCTGGATACCTGTGCTTCGCTAGGAAAGTATGTGGCCAGGCTAAGTTTTTGGGGAGGAAAATAAGGGAGGGGATCCTGCCTCTGCCTACCAGCATCCATGGGTATTCACCTGGCTAGCGTCCTGTCATCACAACATCTCCAGAACCGTAAAGCCTACAAACTTGAAATTTAGCACGTATATATGTTCCTCTTGGCTTCTAGGGGCTCACTGAGAAAGGATTTTTCCAAATGACCATCAGAGCATTTAGAGTATTTCCTATATTATTATTATTATTATTATTATTATTATTATTATTATTATTATTATTATTATTATTATTATTATTATTATTATTATTATTA